AAGTGCTAACTTTATAATAGTTTCAAATACGAATTTTTTCTGTATGCTTCTTTCCATATTTCTAGGTTACTTGTTTCTTTTCGCTGACGTCGCTATATGCTGACAGCACTGAAAATATCGTTCCAAAATGAAAGCTGCGTTTGCATAAAAAGCATGCTTATGAAATTGGAACACTATTGGTAGCATGCACTTATGACGACATGCTCGCAGCGCTGACAAACAATTTTGGAACACAGCCAATATATTACAAAAAATATACTTGACGGGAGCCGCTATTGCGTCTCCTGATTATTTTCCAAATTATAAAGGTAAGAACTCATGGGCGCGTCATTTGACGCGCGCGTCATTGGGGAAATACCTAGATTATAGTAACTTGTAGCGTTTGACGTGGTTACAGTTGAATTTATCCAACTTCAAACGCGTCATCGCGTTTGGCACTCTTGGCACACTGAACTCTATACTGGAATGGGCATCTAGGAAAATTCGTGGCCGCGACTGATCAGTCGCCATCTTGGCTCGATCAGATGCCTGAGCAAATCAGAAGCTTTCAGGTGCTCATGCGCACTTACGTTTAGTGTTTTTTAGTAAAACGCAAATTGTTTATATATGTTCTGTGCGCAAATGTCAGCAAGACTGTTGTGTGTGAGGTTATATTTGAAGAATTATAAAATCGCGTGACTGTCTACAAAGCATCAACATGAAGTGCTGTGTGATATGCTATATAGATTTCCATACATCGATCGCAACCATAGCACTATCCCTTCCACCATGATCGCAACGCGCGCGCGAACGCTTCTGATTTGCTCAGGCATCTGATCGAGCCAAGGTGGCGACTGATCAGTCGCGGCCATGATTTTCTATGCATCACAGCGGAGATGCCCATTCCAGTATAGAGTTTAATGTCTTGGCAGCATTTAATAGTAGCATCTAACATTATTATAACGTTTGACTATGTTTGCTTAGAGATACCTCGATTACCGCACATTGACACGTTGTATTAAAAATTAAGTAACGTTAATAAACAAAGTGTCATCAATAATTATTAATGGCTTCAATTGTCAAATATCGAGAATATCTAGTAAGGCCCGTCTACAATACACGGAATAAGAATTAACACGTCCGATCACGCCGGTAGACGATCACCAACAATCACGTCCCATTAGTCCGGATCTACAATAGGTGTTTTAAGGAGGTAATTGAGTAAATCGAAAATTTTACGAAAATTCTAAAAAAATTAGCATATGTTGATCGCATGCATAACAATCGTTCCTTAAAATTTCAGATGTCGTGGGTGGCACCCAATTGGATACGGCTCAAATTG